CCCCAAAACCCCAAAACCCCAAAACCCCAAAACCCCAAATTTCGATTTTTTCATTACAAATTAAATTAAAATGCAGGAGAATACTTCTAATGGTAGGACTTTTAGCTAATTTATAGTGAATCTAACTAAGGAGAGATTGGACTGGTTTAATTTTGAGACAAAGTCAAGACAGACAACTCAGAAGCTGATCCAGCCAATCCTTGATCAACTTGCTGAGGATAAAAAGCTGTTTAATATTTTGAATAGAGAGGTAGGCAACTTGGTTATTTCTAGTCTGCAACACATGAAGAAAGACTAAAAGCACTTGAATATGCTGTCTTTGAGAGTGGGAAATAAGCAAACTGTGTAGGTTCCTCATCATTTAATTCTCTAGGATTGATAAGATTTACAACAAAATCTCTAAAATTGTAATCCAATCTCTAACTTCTACAGGAACAAGATCGGAAGCAGGAAGAAGTTAAGGTCTATCAACAGATTTCGAATCTAGGTGGGCTTGAATTTTACGGTTAGAATTAAACGTCAAAGAGACAATGGAAACCTTCCAGATTGTGAAGAGGGAGATTGACATCATTAAGTCCAGGAACGAAACCATTGCTAAAAATCAAGGTATTCGCTCTTCTATTGACCTACAGATAGCAATAACGAGGCAATGTTCAAGATTAGGGAGCAGATTAATTCTAAGAATGAAGAGATTGAGACTAAAATCGAAGAGAGGTAGGCTCAAAATAAGTTATCTATAGGTTCAATGAATTTCAGGTCACGATTTCTGAATTTCAAAACATGTAAGCCCTAAAGTCTGATACTTTAGGATCACTGTTCTTGAGACACAGATAGATCAAGCAGCGATTGATAATTTCAAGACCCAGCTAGCTTCACTTAAGCTCACCCAAGGAAAAATTTTGAGGAATATAGAAGTAGTTAAACAGGAGAAAGCAGACCAAAAGCAAACATTTGATGAGGTTACCAAAATAAATGAGATATTGCAGGCTCATACCAAGAAAATTGAGGATCAATATAACCATACCATGACTGTGGAGAATTTTATGGAGAAATATATCCCAATAACTATCCAAACTCAGATTTCAGATACTTTGAAGTCTATTATTGACAAGAAAATGAAGAGAAGTCTTGAGCATTATGAAACCAGGAAGGTACATCATTGCCTTTAGATATAGTTCAATGACTTGCATAAAATGATCCTGGATGATAACGGAGATCCAGAAATTAAGAACAAAATTATGGAGATGGCGCAGAAGTTTGCAGAACATCAGCATCAGCAGACAGGAAGAGGAAAGTCACTTCGTCCTTCAAAATCACTTTCATGTAAGGAATTAGACATCACACCTAGTTTCCCAGAAGAGCTCCTTGAGGAAGAGGAAGACAGGGGATTATAACCCAAAACATTCGTTAATATCTCATCGTAAGGTATTCTGTACCAAAATATAGACACTTTAACATCCAAGGCCTCCTTTGTTAAGCCAATGAAGAGTCAATTCCAAGGTATTACCTTATTATGACTCTTTTAGGTAATACTGAGGCTCTGATCGAGGAAAAAGAAGAGAATGTCAGTGAAGGATCTCAGAGTAAAATTGAAGGTACCCTTCCCTAAAAACCTTATAGTCACTGCCACCAATCTTCGTAGTAGCAAGGAGAAGACAGACACTGCTTTGACTGAGGAGTCTCTGGACTCTGATGAGGGAGAGGAATCTGGAAGATATTTCAACGCAGAGTATTAACAACCTGATAAAATTTAGGCAGATCCACTCAATTGTTTCTCTCGAAGTCATTAAGCGGATCGAAGAAAATCTGGATAGATTTGATGATAAACTGTATAAAGGTATTTTTATGCCCTGAATTTGTAGCTTTAGAAGGCTTCAAACAAGACAATTCTTCAATAAAGGAGGTAATTATTTGGTTTATAGCCATAGATCGAGGTCTACGTCAGAAACTTACATTCTACTTTTGAGGATTTTGAGAACAGGATTTCAAGGAAGGTGGGGATCAAACCTGATCCTTTAGGTCATTGAAATAGAAAAAGTGTATAGAAAAGAGCTTAAAGAATCTGTAAAGTCTTGAATTGTGAGTTTTTAGAAAATAGAAGTAGATGAAATCGATATGAAGTTTGCTAATATTCACAAAAAATACTTCAAATTAGAAAAATTAGTACAAAAGATCAATCTTTATATGAAAGAAGTCTTGGATACCACATCTGGATTCAAAGAAGAGCCAAAAGCACCCTTAATAGTCTCTGGAAGAGCGAATTATGGTCCTAAGCCAAAAACAGGGTTACAAGATTTAGGAAATACTAAGACTTCCCTTTCATTAAATAAGTCTATGCGATCTCCCAATACAGGAAATAAGCCTAATACAGCAGTTCAGTTTAGGAATCTCTCAAATAGGATGAATCTCAGGAGTAGGAGAATAGACCTTGAAGGAATGAAATCATCTAGAGCTCAAAAGCCCATTTCAAACTCTAAGAATTATGAAACTCCTGTTGATCTTACAAACGCTATCGGGAGTAATCCACAGCTAATTTTTTAGAAAAGAATGTAATGAATAAGATGCATCCGTTTCCTTTCCAGTTACCCCAGAATTCAGATAGACTAGAGCCAATACATAACAAAACAACTGAGACTATTAATTCTAGAGATCTTGAATAAGAATTCTTCAATTATATTTTAAATTAAAGGGGTTTTGGGGTTTTGGGGTTTTGGGGTTTTGGGG